CCCAACTTACTCCACAGCATCTTTAAATTTCGATCATCCTCCTATCATTATAACAATAGAAACTCATTTGCATTAACATATCAAAAGCAGACCGGGACGCGTTCACCAGGCAAACCGATCAACGGTTGGCATGATCTTATCGCTGCGGTGCTTGCATGAGAAGTGTCGGGAAAGGCCGATGCCGCTCTACATTCTTATGCTCCTTTAATACGCTTTCAGGGATGGTAGTAAGGGTATGTAAATACATACAAGGTCAGATGACAGGCTCTACAACCTGGCTCGCCTACGTGCCAAAATTAGGGTATTCATTCGTGAAATGCTTTTTGCTGATGACGCTACCTCAGTGTTGCCCTTTCAATACGCTTTCAAGGATTGTAGTGAGAGTGTGTACATCCATACCATGTCAGAGGGCAGGCTCTACAACCTGTCCCGTCAACGTGCCAAAATTAGAGTATTCAATCGTGAAATGCTGATGACGCTACGTCAGTGTCGCACACAGGACGACATCAGTGTCTTGTCACCCGCTTCTCCCACGCGAGTAAAGATTTTAGGCTAACCATAAGCCTGAAGAAGACCAACATAACGGTTCAGGGCATGCAGACTCCTCTTAAAATTACCACTGATGGACATACACTCGACGTTGTTGAGAACTTTACCAACCTCTGGTCGACCATTTCCGGTCCTATCTGCAGATTGTGAGGTCAACAGCAGGATCGCTAGGGCCGCCACAGTAATGGCCAGGCTAAATCAGCGATTATGAAACAACCCCAGTCTAACTGTAAAAACTAGACTATATGTCTACCGGGCCTGCGTGCTAAGCATCCTTTTATATGGTTGTATGACGTGGACTGTCTGTGCTAGACATAAGGAAAAACTCAACAGCTTCCACGTGTGATGTTTGCATCGCCTGCTATGGAACAGATGACAAGACATCAAAGTGCTGAAGTGAACTGGCATGAGAAGTCGATATGCAGTTTTCAATGAAAGGTGTCTCGGATGTTAGGACGATGGATAATCGTCGTATCCCCGAGGATTTCCTGATGGTGAACTGGTTGAAAAAGGCTTCGGTTTCATGATATTTGTTAGAGAAACATGATTAGCTGCTCCATCAATTTAAGATCTTGGGAAAAATTAGCAGTTGATCGAGCGATTTGAGAGTGTTTTGAGTGCGGAGGTGGAAACAGCGTCAAAATCAACTGCAGCAGCCGATGGTAACGTTTGTCATTCCGGAATTTGGTCTGCTTAGCCATTCTCGGCGGCGCAAGATTCACCAACTTTGGTTATAGTTTCAAAATCGTCACCCGACACGGAGGTAAGCCGATGATTATAATAAAGTTGAATTAAGGTAAAGTTAGTTTTAACAATGAGTTCAAGTAATAAGGTGATATAGTTAGTTTTTAACAAAAAGTTCGCAGATAAATTGGAAATACCGTAATTTCTTTGTTTCGTTTTACAGTTAATGTCATTTGTGTTTGTTGTGGCAGGTTGCATGATTGAGATGGAAGAAGGCAGTTGGATTAAGTTTGCATATTGATCGATTTGGAGTGTTCTTTGGTAATTTGCTGCTAAAACAAGATATTCACGTGCAATTTTTTTATTATGTGTTAATTTAGAGTGTCCTGATAGTCCGTCATTAGATAGGTGGCATGTAAGTCGACTTGATAGAGAGATAGTTGTCATACCAATATAGGTTTGATGATCACAGCCATCATTGCTACATTGATACTGGTAGATTACCTTTGTTTGTTTGATTGGGTTATTATCGGTGGATTATTAATTCTTATTAAATTAGCTGTTTTGGAAGTTTTTGTAGTAAATTTTAATTATGATTTGTTAATTAGGTACTGTAGGTTTGATGCTAATGATAAAGCGGAAATTAACAACCACGTCATCTAGCCTCTACTATCACCAATCAAAATTACTACACGCAAACTTCGTCAACGCAAACATAACTATCAAGTCGCCACTCAATCAACATATCAGGAAAACACCTTCCTCACAAGACACCTTAGATATATTAGCACTTAATAAAACTTCATCATTTACTCAATTTAGTTTTCTTTTTTTATCGATCACTTAACTAACTTACTAAGTCTAATAATAAATTATTTTATTTATTTGTCTTTTTAAACCATTACTTTATTTCATTTTCTATACTTTTCATGTATAAACATTTTTCCTTCGTTATTTATATTTCGTTATCATTTTATACTATTGTCTTGCACGCTGTAAAAGTTTCTGCGTTTGTCAGATACTGATTTTTTACAGAACAATAAAAAATGTTCCTTTTAATTATATTACTGATTATCGATTCGTTTGTTTTATATCTGCTGTTCATAATGTTTCTGTATTATATTTTTTGGAAAATAATTTCGTTTTTTCTCGACAGAAAATTTAATTGCATTTTATCACAGCAAACTTCACACTTAAGTCGCATTGTCATTATATGTTTTGACAGCCGATATAGCAAGGCTAGTGTGTGAATAGGCTCAATTGATTTTACGCAGCAGTTTTTGGTCAGTGCCCTTTGAAATATTGAGAGCAATAAGCAGCATTTTCATCATATTTTACTTTATTACTATAGAAAAAGTAAAAATGCTGTTCAAGCCAGAAAGAAATTAACCGATGAGTATGGAAAAGATGTGTTGACAATACGCCAGTGCCAGAACTGGTTTGCAAAATTTCGATCCGACAATTTTGATGTCAAAGATACACCACGTTCTGGAAGGCCGGTTGAGGCTGATAAAGATGCAATAAAGGCATTAGTTGATGAGAGGCTAAATTTATCAAATTTAACTGTTATGATCTGTTATGAAGACCAGGGTTTAACCTCGAAACTCGATATATGGGTTCCCCATGTCCTCACGGAGAGAAATTTGTGTCGTTACGTTGAAGTCTGTGCTTTACTTCTCAAACGTCACGAAAATGATCCATTTTTGAAGCGCATCATCATTGGGGGAGTTAGATTTTTTTTCTTTTCAATTTCATTCATCTTCAGTTTCGTTAACAATTTATTCCACATTATCGGGCAGTACAAGGCAAAACTTCTTGAAACTGTTGAAAACTTAACCCGTGGTACCTGAAAATCATTGTACCTGTAGGACCTCAAAATTCACCCACACTTGGTCACTGAGGTTTTTTTGCACAAATCAATTAGTTATTTCGGTGTCGCACCTTTGACACATCATTTCATCAACACCAAACTTTTGAAAACAATTTTGCTCTCAATTGACAGCCAATGTAAATCATGAAGTATTGGCGTCACATGATCATATTTCTTCATTTGTACCATAATCTTTACCGCACAATTTTGTATTGATTGCAGTCTATATAATGTTAACTTTGAGCATCCGCTAAGTAAGCTGTTGCAACAATCAACTCAACTGGCCACGAAAGAATGCACAAAAGATTTTGTTGCATACACATCAAGAAAAGCTTTTATGCGACCGATCTGTCGAAGCTGAAATGAACAGTCCCTGATGATATTGCCGATATGTTAACGCATGTTTAGTGTACCATCTAACCAAAAACCCAAATTTTTTACCACATCAGAAAAAGACACTATAACAGACCCAAATTTTACCTCTTCAAGATTAATCTTTAAAAATTGCTGTCTAGTTCCAATTAACACCACTTGTGTCTTGTTCTCATTCAATTTCAATCTGTAACGCTCAATCAATTTTTTAAGTACATTATTTTTTCTGACACTAATTCGACCATTGTTGTCACCGATCCCACATCAGCACTGGTTATAATCTGTATGTCATCGGCGTATGAGTATACATGTAGATCATCATGTTTTAGCGCATTTGCTATAACTGAAGTGTATATGATAAAAAGGAGAGGGCCCAATACTGAATCTTGAAAAACTCCACTTTTAATATCCATCACTGCTGATGATTGTCCTGCGTAAACAACTTCAAAGCTTCATTCACAAACAAATGAGGTTACCCAATCAAGCACTTTGCCTTTCAAACCAAATTGATTTTTCCAAAGTTGATGGAGCATATCATGATTGACGCAGTCAAAAGCTGTACTCATGTCCAGAAATGCCATGAGAGACTTCTTATCAATAGTTTCGAAGGCATCTATCAATATATGTGTTAGCGATGTCTCTGTTGAATGATGCTTTCTATAGGCAGATCACGCATATGGCATTAAGTTCTGTTTGTTTAAGTGCAGCACCATTTCTCGTACAACCATTATTTCGATTACCTTTGACAATTTGATTTGGAAACCGGTCTGTAGTTACTTAAAACAGACGCGTCCACCCTGGGCTACTTCCACAACAGTGTAACAATCGCATGCTTGGCCAACTTTGGAAAAATTCCATCTCTTAAGGATGCATTAACCATGCCGTTATAAAAGGCAGAAGAACGTCTAAAAATTTCTTAACGATGTTTATTGAGGTCAAATAAATTGTTTCGTTTCGTTTCGTTAGGACAGAATCACAGGAGCAGGTCGTTGATGGTATGTGCATTATAATTTTATAAACCTCTTCTGCTGTACATGGTTCAAAAATATCCAATACTCCAACAGATATCTCTTCAATGACAGGGATGTCATAATACCGAGTTAGTGCCATGATTTTACCTTATTTTCAAAATAATTAAGAAAATCACTAGATGTGAGTCTATCAGATTTTGACTCTGACATGTTTGCATGTTCAAATGACGCCAAAGATGAAAAAGATTGTTTTTGTATAAAGCTACCCGATTTCGCCAATAACCAGTTTTTGTCTTTCAGCAGCATTTTCCGGTTTTTCAGGGCATCATACTATTTTTCCTTATCATCGTTATTTTTCGCTTTACGATATTTTTTCCCAGCGTCCTACAGGTCTAGACTGAAAAAAATCTTCATCCAACCAGAGAGTTAATGGACAAAACTTACAAATAACTTTTTTAATTGGTGCATTCTCATCTGCCAGCCGTCGCAACTCTGTAACAAGATCTCATCAGGTCTTCCGAACAAGCATCATCAGCAAAAGGCTTAACAAAGTATCAAAAAATTTTGAAATGCAACTTTGTCATGCCTCTTACAACAACGTACGAGCTTATTTTTGCTTTAACTTTTTTTATAGACAATATGCAGGTCACCAGGGCATGATCCGACAACTTTCCTGGTGTTCTCACGTTGACATCAGTAACCCCATAACCAGATGAGGCAGCCACAAAGTCCAACATTCCGTCCCCTATGTGAGTTGCATCATGTACGAATCTAGCCACATCAAATGTTGTGAAGATACCTTCCATCCTCCTTGCATTTAAATCATCAACGTCCTCCAGATGAATGTTAAAATCGCCAGCCATCAACAATGGAATGTTGCTTACAGTCAGTCCCTCGACTACATGCGCCAACTCGTCAAAAAATAGCTTGTAAGCAACTCTTGAGCCGGGTCGATATACTACCATCAGAATAATTGATACATTTGTTATTGAAATTTGAATACATACACATTTAAACAATGTCAGTTTGGGTATTTCCAATCACTTGTGAGAGTACGCATCTTTAAACATCAAACTACAATGAGCCGGGTCAATACCCTGACGACGTCAATATATCCATAACCTGGCGGCAGCGCAGACTTTACTGAGTCACCATCTGATGATCTGTGCCATGATTCCGTTAGCACCATTACATCGACTTTGTTATGAAACAAAACACCATATATTACCATAGATTTGTTTGACAGCGACCTCACATTCAGCAGACCAGGTTTTATCATTTCACCATTTATTATATTAATTTAATTTATTTACTTATATTATCCGATGTGTTATTGTTGTTGTTGTCGTCGTTTACATGTAAACATGTATGTAGGTGTACCTTAATTATTGAAAGTGTGCAAAATAATTAGAAGCGTGAAGAATCATGATTGTATGGCTTGGACCATCTAATTAATGGGACTATCTTGATTGCATTTTTAATACTTTTAAATTACCAAACATTAACACCAAGCAGTATGATTGTGAAAATGGTTTATCAAAATATGTTAATATGTGGAGTGCATGCATGCATAATTACACATGTTTTTATTATACATGCAAGTTTAAATGTTTGTTTCTTTTCATATATGTAGGTACGTATGTGATAGTACATGTATATACAAAAATCAATTAGGTGGTATTGATTCAAATTAACTTCACGTTGAGTTATTGATAGGAACAGTATTCCATACTGGAAAGACAAAGTCACAAGTTATAACAAAATGAAATGTGCGGGTTTTGCTGTTTATTATTTGTTGCTGGTCTATTGTCGTTTTGTTGTCATTGAATTACACCGTATTTCTGTTTGAAAATCCGGCTCTGGTCGAATTTGAAAAAGTTAAATCCGGTATATCCCTAGTAACAATATCAGTAATTGAACTTTTTATTGATATTAAATAGAAGTTATTTATTTGCTTTGTTGTTTAGCATTTTCTTTGTTCTTTAACATTTGAGGTAAAATTACTTGAACTATAGAACTCGTACCTAAGGTGTGCTTGTTTTTGAACCTGAAAAATTTGTTCGTTACTTGTACTTAAGACCTGAGTACTTGCTTTTGAAAAATATTTGAAAACACCTCTGTTGAGCAATTTGTTTTGTCACCTTGGATGACATGAAAAATTCTGGCATTTTAACACGTTCAAAAAAGAGTCAATAAAATGATAAAAGAATGAAATATGTTGACAGTCTGAAACTTTAAAATTACCTTTTTTTCAATACAGAAGAGACAGTTGGAGACAACGTTTGAAACTTGCTGAATTCCCAATTTAATATATGACATAAACTAAATAGTTGAACAAACTAAGAAAACCAAAACTAAACAAAAGTAAAAAAACGAGTGAATAAGTTAAACACATACAAAGCTGACAGAAATATAAATGTTCAAAAACTAAAGCAAATAATAAAAAAGACAAGGCAAATCTAGACAATTTTTAATATGTTGGCAAAACTTTAAAAATTTCAACAGTATGGATGTTAACTGTTGACCCGGGTTCCAAAAATCTGCGGCTGAATATACATTTCTGTTTAAACACAAAAATCTTATTTACAATATGAGCAAAATCAAATGCTCTTGGTGTTTTTTCAAATGTACACACACACAGAGACAGAAGTACTGAATGCAGCAGCCATCACAATGAAGATGAACCCAATTTGTTGAAATTTTTACTTGGTTGGAATTTCTGTAAAAACGAATTTCGATTAGGTTCCGGCTTTTGTTCCTGGAATAATATCGTTTTTTTGGTTTTCGGTTACGCTCAGAAACTCAATTTTTCCAAGTATAGATAGTTCCTTAAACGCATGTAGCGGACATACGGAAATTCAACTATCACCACAATGCCAATTTGAATTAAATTTTAAATTGTGAATGATAAGAAATCAGTAAAAAAAATGATTTTTAAATGTTGTCAGTATAAAATCAATCAATCTTCGTTTTGCGTCCAGAGACCCAGTTTCCCGAGGTAGGACGTTGTTTTCTTTGCCATCAAATTTTTGCGCCAAATTAGACGATCAGTTGTATCCATTTCATTTAAATTTAGAGCTTTCATATCTTGCTCGATTGTTTGCCACCAGGATTTCTTTGGACGGTCTTTGGGACGTGTGCCAGGTACTTCAACATCTGCAAGAGAAGTTATGGCACTGTTTCCACTTCGTTTGACATGATCAAACCACCTCAGACGGTGTTGCCAGATTCGTCCTTTATATCATCTAAACCAGCACGACGCAGGATTTCGGTAGATTTGATGTGGTCCTTCAGACTAATTCGTTGCATCCATCGGAGCATTATCATGTCGGTTCGTTGAAGTTGTTGTTCCAGTTTTGTTGTCATTGGCCATGTTTCTGCACCTTATAAAAACACAGGACGTATTACAGATTTATAAAGTCTTTATCGTAGTGGTAGTGAGATGTCACGCCGCATCAATAAAGAGACAAGGAGATGCCATTTATTCCAGGCTGCACGTATGCGTGCTCGAACGGCAGCTTCAGCTGTTCCAGTACAATCTAGAACATCCCCTAGATATTGAAACGATGTAACTTTCTCTACCTTAATGACTTCAAAAACAGTGTTATTTCGAATTTGTTGTTGTGGATTGATGCAAACAGGACAAACAAAATTGGACACTTTAGATAAAGTACCAATTATTTTTGAACAACGTTTGTGACACCACTGGTTACACTGCTGACACTTGATTGAAATGTTACCCACAAACTGTACAGGGCCATCGTCCAGTAGCTGTGGATTGGATGAGTTCACCAGTGTTCATTTGCTTTGGTTTTGCTGATGTTGACTTTGAATCCATGATCGGCGAGTCTGGTGTTCCAATCTTTAAACATTTGTGCTGCACTCTGTTCAGACGTGGCTGTTAAAACCATATCATCAGCATATATTAGATTCCAAATGTCACCAGTGCGTACCCCCTTTGTGATTTCTTCCATCACAGTTATAAATAACAGTGGACTGAGAATCGAGCCTTGGTGAACTCCAAAGCCGATGTCAAGTGCAACTGTGTTTCCAACCGTTGTGCTGACGATAGTCTTAGTATTCGTATACACTTCCATCACAAGTCGAACAAGATATTCTGGAATGAGTTGTCGACGTAGACTCCACCTGATTGCTTCACGGGAAGCTTGATCAAATGCTTTTTCAAGGTCTACAAAAATGTGTGATAGTTGTTGATGCTTTGCGAGTTACTTCTCTTGCAGTTGCAGAATGATGTGAATTGTATTAATTGTTGATTTTTCCGCTAGGAAACCAAATTGATAATTTCCTATTGTAATGCACAACGTTAATCTTCTCAATGATTTTCTCGACAATTTTTAGGGAGTGTTCTAACAGACGTATACCCCGATATGAACAGTTCAATGGATCACTTTTGTCTTTGTATAGCAGAACTGTCATGCTATAGTTCCATTCAGTCGGCATTGAGCAATTTCTCCACACTTCACGGCAGAGTTGTAGTAACGTTTGGATGTTTGGATACCTGCAGTACCAGATGTTTTGATATTGTCATTTGTGAGTCTATTTTGGTTTTTAAGTTTTCGGTTACGGTTCAGTTCAGGTTCGAAGCCCTGGGTGAGAATAAATGCTAAACCAAGCTAAAATATTATACATTAAAAAATTAAAATAAGCAAGCACACATTTCATGTCACTATAGGCATTTATACTAAAAATGACTATTACTCCAAAGAAATGTATAATTATTTGTGAACACAATGACAGTGTCATGATTTTAGTTTTGTGTGCAATTTACGTTTGTTTTTTAAGGGACCTTCCCAGACCCCAAGGTCTTTATGTCATAACATAGGCACCTCTTGGTCTCCAATCTAAGTCCTTAGCTATAACTTGCTATAATATAACTTAAAAGTAACTAATTGAATTAACTCTTAAGTTTAGTTTAACCTAGTTAACATTTCATAAAGATAAACAATAATAATTTTGTAACAGAGAGGCTTTATATTTATTATTTTATTTATAATATTATATTTTAATTAGTTAAACTAATAACTAAAAATAACTAATTCTGGGAAAATCCAGTGCTAACCTCCGGTTTTGCCGGAATTACTTTAAAACATAAAATTATTAAGAAAGCTGACTAAGGATAAGAAAGGCGACCTGTTACAAAAGAACAGGAAGAAACACGACAAAAAACATTTAATAATAACATTTGATAAGATTTAATAACAACATTTACTAGACAAATAAAAAAAACAAACTTTAACGACGGAAAATCACAAAACTGATAATGACACACTTCACAGGCAAAAATAAGAATTCTAAAAACGAAGGTCACTTCAGAAACGACCTAGCAGCGACGAAACGTAGCCAATATCGAACAGGGAGGAAAGCCGGGGGGAAATTTTCAAAAATGTTTAAAATGTTTTGCGGCGGGCCAAAATTTTGACGGGGGCGCAAAAATTTTTGATAAACGTGCTTATAATGTTGTCGGATCGCAAATCTTAACGATTAAAACTGAGGACCCTCAAAATAAATAAAAACACCACAAACTAACGAAATGTTTCTGAGTTCTATATAAGGGAAACTGCCATACTATTTTGAAAGGTATTCGGGCTGCTGATAAGTCCCCAGTAGGGGGACTTTTCATTCCTGCGCACTGCTCTTCCTGATTTGGTGTTCTCTTACAACAGAGCAATCATACATTAGCGAAACCGTTACAAATTGGAGATCCCGACGTGATCGAAAAAACAAGTATCAAAAGTTTCTCTTTCGATATAAACTTTTCTTCGGCACTGCAACACGCGATAGATCTCAACATTTCAATCTCACCCATTACGTCCTCAACACATCGGGTGGAGTATATTGTCGGATCACAAATCCTAACGATTTAAAGTTTTTTAAAACTGACTATCCTTATAATAAATAAAAACACCAGAAACTAATAAAATAATTTGTAGGACTCTATAAGAAAAAACTGCAACATGATTCTAATCGATATTCGGGCTGCTGATGAGTCTACTGTAAAAACGAAACAAGTGTCCAGTCTGTCCCAACGAATACTATTCTTTTCTTTTTTCACTCTTGCGCACTGCTTTTTCTGGTTTAGTGTTTTCTTAAAACAGTGCAATCATTCTATAGCGCAACCGCAACAATATCAATTTTACGTCTAAAAACAGTACTTTTTACGTATTTTTCAGTTGAAACAATCATTTTTACTCACTTTTAATACAAATACGGCTCACAACGGATGGCATTTGCTCTCTAGATCACCATTTGAATAACATG